GTGACCTCTTCAACGCTGGCGAAAAAAGCGGAGAAATCCGTCAAGAAAACGCAAAACGGGACCCCTTTTTGGCCGTTCGGTCATGAACAGGTAACAGCTCAGAAAGCGGACGTATGAACGAGTTCACCGCAACGCGTTTGGTGGCACCATGCCAAACCACGCTCCAGTCGAGTTGCTCCAGTTGTGCCGCTGCTGGCAACGCAGCTCGTCCAAATCACCAACTAAACTAGTGGGCGGAGCGCTTTCGAAGTCCTGCTCAGCAACCAGCGCACCTTTCGTCGTGAAAGCGCCACACCTCGCTTCCTTGGCAGCCAAGTAACTGCTTCGTGTGGTGCATATGCTTCCCCGATGCGCTTCCTCTTTATCGTAATCGCTGCCTTTAATCTGAGTGGGATTACCCCACTCGCTGCCAAATGGACTCTTTCCGAGATCTGCCGTTCACGAACGGATGCCGTCATATAATTCTCAATAGCAGTACATATACGATCTTTCCGCCGCAGGTCTATACGTGGCGAGTGATTAGATAGCAGAGAGAGCGTAGTGTTGAAGAGGGCACAGCGATGAGAGTCGCATCAATGCTCAAATCAACGGGCAAGAAGGGGTCCCATTTCTCGGGTTTGGGCCGTTTCAAATGGTTTCTTCTTCATCCCTGCTCCACTGACCACCTCTACCTCTTATTTCGAATATGCAGGTGAAGTGTAATTTTCCCTACGAAGTGCGCTCATAGCTGCTCATAGCTCCAAGGTGACACGACCTCCAAATTTGGCTGCTGACGTTTGTTATTACTGCTATCACTGCCGTTGTCATTCCCTTTTGAAGGCGCATTTCATTCCAAACAAACCTGTTTTCCAATCTTGAAGAGCTCTATCTTACATGAGTTTTTGTTGTTTCTTGTGATTTCTTCTTCACAGCCAAACCATTGAAACTAATGAACACTTCTGCCTCAATATAATGCTAATTGACCAATATCTGATTGCTGTGAACGGCGGCTTTCATATGAAAAACCAATTGATTGATGGCTTAAGTTGTGAGAAGGGTTGGAATTTGTTCATAGTGTTTCGCATCCTTTACATTTGTAAATCCTAAAAGCGAAAGCCCCCCATCTTGTCTGAACCGTAAACTTTTTAGGAGTTCATTCCAGGAAGAGTGGATGTGGTGCTACAGTCCGCGCCACCTGCACTAATTACAATTTTTACAAGGGGGGGGGGGAATCCTCAGAAGTGCGCTTATCACTTTGCCTTTACATCCACACCAGAGCTTCTGCTTTTCAAAACTTGCGATCGCTGTAGGCGGCACGAAGTGGACCCCCTCTCATGCTGCGACACGTGGCGGAAATCTGCCTGGTGGGAAGACAGGCGGACGCCGACACGCGATTCTCTGTAAAGGATATACCACGGCGATCTAGCATGGCCATCCCCACGACGCTATCGACGCGACACTCC